AGCTGAGATGGGCCATGAAAACTCAGAGAAGTTTGTATTAAGGTAGAAGAACTGTCCTCAATTATCTGACAGTCATCGGGAATTTTCTGTATCTGTCAGCTCAAAGGCACTGCATTCCTTTTATTCAAACCAGACCAAAAAACATATGCATTAGTCTATTCCCAAGGAACTCTAAGTACAATGACTTGAGACTCAGGCAAGACTAATACATGTAGGGGAATTCAAACCAACCCAGCCTTGCTTTAAAAACCACACACACTCCGGGTACCAGTGGCTTATGCCTGTAATCCTAGCTACTCAGAAGGCTGAGATCTAAGGATTGCAGTTCAAAGCCAGACTGGGCAGGAAAGACCATGAGACTCTTATCTCCAATTAACCACCAGAAAACCAGAAGTGGCGCTGTGGCTCAAGCGGTAGAGTGCTTGCCTTGAGCTGAAGAGCACAGGGATAGCACCCAAGCTCAGTTCAAGACCCACGACTGGCAACAAAACAAAACAAAACAAAACACCACACCTGCAGCCACACAAATCAGGAGAAGCTTCCTGGGGGACTTGACTTTCCAGGAGAGGGACTACTATGGGGCCCCATGACCTTCAGCCTAGGCATGACTACCACCAGAACCTTCACCCCCTCACCTCGTTCCTTCGCTTCCTCCTCCTCCCCGCCCCCCCTAATATTGAGACTAGAGTCCTAGGCCAGAACCATGCTCACCTTTGTGCCAATCTGGTTGCCACACTGGCATGCCTACATGTATACAATCTCCCCCAAGGTTCAGGGCTGTGGAGCAGTTGGGTGCATGTCCTTAGTAGTGGTGCACACAGAAGCAAACAGGTAGGGCCAAGGAGCAGGAATCTGACACAGCAGGAATCTGACACAGCCAACTCTGCTCCCCATTTATACCTCTGGGTATTACAGAGGCAGAGGAGGTGGAGTGGACTTGATGATGGGCAGGACCAGCAGTGCTCCAACTCAGTCTCCCTACTGCTGGGTAAGCAGAGGGCCCTACCAGTACCCACCCAGCCCTGGCATCCAGCTGCCTGCCACAAGTCCATGAGCACAGCCGACTCTCTAGTTGGATCCTTTGGTCATACTGCCATCTACCTTCCCCTCTGACTCACAAGAGGGGCTGTACCCTGGGATCCAGGAAGCAAGAGGAGGAGCTTCCTCTACACAAGGTCCTTGTGTGCCAAGAAGCCAAGACCAAGACTCACTTTCCATTTTAAATTGGGGAGCCTAGAACTGAAGGTGCATTTTCAGCTGTGATCCCAAGAACAGGAACACCTGCTGGATTCCATGACTGATCCACTTTCCATTCTGGGAAGAATCAGGGCATGTTAAGGGAGTTAAAGGCCGAGTGTGGTGCTGTGTGGGGAGTAGTGGGGAAGAGTCCTTGCCATACTAACAGCTGGTCTGCATCACAGGTGGAAGGCAGAAGCCAGTCAGGAGGGTGGCATCCTTTGGTCCAGGTCACCTCTTCACCAGCCCTGCTTCAGGAAACCAGACTCCCGAGGCTGAGCAAGTGGCACACAAGTGATAAATTCTCTCCTCCTCTTCCTGCCCAGAATGCTGGCCCCATCAGACAGCTTGTCCACTCATGCTAGTCCAGAGACCCAGAGCTTAGCCTTCCCCCACACCCACTTGCAACTCCACACCTTAACTCTTCACCATCAGCTGGAGCTTTCTAGAGAGACTCTATGCTCTGCAGAGACTCTATGCTCTGGCTAGTGCCACTGATTGCAGTGTCTCATGAATTTTTCTGAAGGTAATTATTAGCTTTTGCTATTTCATTCAAGAGGGAATGGAGTTCTGTTTCTGCCACCTACTATCCACTCAGGGGTCAAATATCTAACCAGGCAACCATACACATGGGTTGAAATCATGCCTGACCTGCTGAAGGCTGTGAGCTTCTGCTCCACTCTTGGTGTAAACATTCCAAACTACCACACTGTCACTGCTGTGGGTATGGTGCTGAGGACAGAAGAACAGGAGGAAATGGAGCCAATGACATTTTCCCTCCCCAGAATAGGCCTGTGAAGAGCTTGGGTGAGGAATGGGGAAGGGATTGGACCTCCCCTTTCTCCATCTCATTTTTGGTTTTGGCAGTACTGGGGTATAGTATAGAATCCAGGGCCTTCTCCATGCTAGGCTGACACTTTACCACTTGAACCAAGTCCTGATTTGTGTTGCTGATTTTGGAGAAGACTCCAAAAGCTCTAGGGAGATTTTCTGCCCAGCCTAGCCTTGAACCCTGCTTCTGAGGAGCTAGGATTGATACTGAAAACCTGCAACACCTGGATCATGTCCCTGGTTTGTCTCAATGGTGTCAAAGAATGCAACCAGAGAGAGGAATAAAATGATAAAGATTGATTGGAGAAAAAGATGAGCAGAGTTACTGCTCAATGGGGAGGATTCTAAGGGAGAGGCATCATCTTGAGTTCCTTATGTAGGCATTAATAAGATGTCTCTAGGAGAGAGCTATGTAACTTTCAATTTTCTTTCACAGCCTATGGGCCATATCAGTGTCCTCAGACCCAATCAGAGACTCCATGCAGTCTGTTAGAGCAATCCATGAGTCCTTCATTCCCTCTGACAGGGACTTGCCTCTGGGGTCTAACAAGCCTGGTATTCCTATCCAAGTCTTCCCTGATACCCAAGGGGCTCACATGTACAACTGCTTGTGGCCATGGTGTTGTAATGTCTAGGGATCTCTGTATGGGAATGCTCAAGGACATGGTAAGGGATGCAGAATCTCTCTGGAAGGGGTGGGATCGTTAGAGGCTGATTCCCTAGCTGGTCTCTTTCTCTGTCCTCCTGATTACATTGATGAGCTCCCATGCCCAGCTCTTTCATCTGTTTTTCCAGGTGTATAGACAGCAGCCCTGCTCTTTTTTGGACAGGTGATGTCAGGTTACACTGATGTCCTCCAGCCATAGATACTTTCCTGCTGTAGACCGGATGTCACCAATAAATAGTGTTTGAGTGCATTGTAGGGTGATGCTGGCAACATTCAAACTAGAGAATTTGTTCCAGGTGAAGGCTTAGTGTGTGCAGCTTTTACAAGAAGACTAAGTTTTTACCCTTCTCTTCATCTGTCTGTCCTCCATAGCTGCCCTCACAGAGCTCCAACAAAAAAAAAGTTGGGGTTAAACACCAGGAAATGGGACATCAAATGGAGGGAGGGATCAGTAGAAGCGGGTAGACAAAGGAAAAGAGAAACTGGCTAGAATGTAGTTTTAAAATTCAATGTATATCCTACACAATTAAGAAAATTGAGAGAAGGGCTGGCTTGGGAGGGAGAGTGGAACTGAGGAGAGGTGACATTGATCAAGATGCATGGTACTCACAGACGGCTTTGTGGACTGGTTTTGAAGAGGTTAGTTTCAACATTATCCTCCAAATTTTACAGTATTTGTACCTCAGGTGATAATTTAGAGTAAATATATGCTACTTTTTTTTCTGTTATCTTCTAGAATGCGTCACATTCATTCTTTTTTTTTTTTTTTTTGTGAGTCATGGGGCTTGAACTCTGGGCTTGAGCACTGTCCCTGTGCCCTTCAGCTCAAGGCAAGTACTCTACCACTTGAGCCACAGTGCCACTTCCGGTTTTCTGGTGGTTAATTGGAGATAAGAGTCTCACGGACTTTCCTGCTTTGAACCGTGATCCTCAGATCTCAGCCTCCTGAGTAGCTAGGATTACAGGTGTGAGCCACCAGCACCTGGCCACATTCATTTTTGATACAAATGCTCCTCTGGACCTTTCAAACGGGAAGATGCTATTCCTAGTCAGACATCAAATTCATATTTAGCTGTACCCACTAACATACTGATGTATACACACAAACTCTATATGCATTGTATTCTATATACATGTATCCAATGAAGACACTAACAAATTAGAAAGTACTAAAGATCAGGAGTGTATCTCTCTACTGTTCCTAAATGGACTTCATTCAAAGCCGACAAAATTGGCTTTGAACCACGAGATCTTAACCTGCTATAGCTAGGATTACAGGCATGAGCCACCAGTGTCTGGCTTAATATGTAATGTTTTGTTAGCTTTCAAATAAAAATATTTTCTAAGTCTGGGCATGGTGGCTCATATCTAAAATCCAAACTACTCAGGAAGTAAAGATCAGGATTACAGTTTTCTAGGGGGTGGGGGGAATCTTAACAAAAGCCCACCTCAACCAATGAACATGGCCTGGGGCATAAGTTTATCCTCCTAGCTATACGAGAAGCATAAATAGGATTGTGGTACAGGCCAACCTTGGTAAAGATGTGAGACACTATGACATGGAGGAGCTAACTTTTCTAGAGAGCATGAATGAGGTTCCTGAATGACTATTCCCATCTGTCTATTGCTCCTTTCTACTTCTTACTCAAAGTTAGCTTAACATTTGTTCTGTTGTATGTCAGCAGACACAATTCTGTTTTCTGATTTTTCTCTTCAGTGCTAGGAATCAAGTCTAAGGTTTCATACATGCTACTACCCACAGCCTGTCCCTTTCTGTTTCAGAGTTTCTTAAGATGGCTGGACTCTGGTGGCTCATACCTGTAATACTAGCCACTTGGGAGGCTTAGATTTGAGAATTGTGGATCAAAGACAGCCTGGTTAGACAAATCCAGTAGACTCTTATCTCCAATTAATCAACAGAAGACCAGAACTGGAGGTATGGCTCAGTATTATGAAAAGCCCTATTACAGGTGTGCACAACACACACACACACACACACACACACACACACACACACACACACACACACACACAGATTCATTTATAGTATTTTCCATGGTTTTACATGGCCACATGTATTTTTTCATTACTTATATTTTGATGGTGAAACAAGTAGAGTTTGCTATTATGATAGTATTTGAACACATTTGTTGAATTGGTTTTATGTGTTCACTAAGCTTTTTAACTTCATATATCAGTAGCATTTTACACTGCTTTGTTTTTCCCAATTGATTACACATCCTTTGAAATGTTGACTTTTGAGCATATCACCTACCTTTAAACATTCCACATCTGCTTCTATGTTTTCTTTCAACTGACTTACATAAAAAGGTCTAAATTTTTCTTCAATACCTATTTGAGAAAATAGTCCTTTAAATTTCATATTTTGAAGACAGTTAAAATATATTAGCCATCTATTTTCTTTGAATTACTTACCTTAACCGGTGATAAAAGCATTAAAATAAAGTTTTAAGCTCCAAATTACTGTTTCATCTAACAGGATGAAGCACTAAGAAGAAAGAACAAGGGCCAGAATACCACTAGAAGTTGAAACTCTCACCTAACAGTGTGCATTTGGCTCTAGGTTTAGCAAAGCCCTAGTGATGCAGGTTAATCTACAGGAGAACAAGAATGGGCAAACTCCAAGTTTTGTCCATCTGGCCTCAAGTTTATGAGAGGGTTGGATATTCAGAATAAGAACTCAGGGAAAGGTGACATTTGCTACTTTAAAAGGAAAATAAGACTTCAAAAAGGTGTAGCAGATGTACTTTGCTTCTTCTTCTTGCTAAAAACAACAAAAATCCCTAGATACTATATATCAAACAAACACATAGATACTCTGTAAGTAGAGTATATACTCTATATCCTCTGAAGGCAGATTAGTTGAGGCGTGAGGGTCTGAGTAAACACCAAGTAGTGAGTTCCTGTATTTCTGCTTTGCCTCCTCTATCCCAGAGCTGCAGCAGAAACCCACAAACATCCAGAGGCACAGACAACACCAATAAAGACTCTTCTTTCCAGCCATAGAATTAAGTAAGGGGCAGCCTACTAACATAGGAATCCTTTGATCCATGGTGTCTCTACTCCAGCTCCACAGCAAAGAAGAAAACTGTGACTCCTCCCTAGCTCACACCAGCTATGACCAGTGACCATCTTGGACCTTCCCCTCAGGAGAGGCAATTAACCCCCACCAGGCTGCTGTCAGAGACTGCCAAATAAGAAGTCTGAGGTTTTCAGCCTAATGGCTGGGAATGAGTCCTTCCACACCCATGGGAGTAGTAGGCCTCAAGAGCAGCCTATACTTGTTGCCATGTGACAGGAATAGGATATTCTTTTCCATTCCCCACAAGGGAAATATTAGAGGAAGCCTCATGGAGAGCTGGATGTCCACTGCCATCTGGTAGGTGTGAGGGACCTCCACCTTGGGTATCAATGAGGATAACCAGAAAACCTGGATTTCTACCTTTACCTGGCATTTGTAAGATAATAACCACTATTCTTCCTGCCAGGCCAGGGCAAAACAAGTCCAGCTAAAACAGAGGAATAAAGAAGATTCAGACTCTCACCATATAGGAAGTAAAAGTGTAAGGCACAATGGAAAACCATTTACTGTACCAACAACCAGAAGGATGCTTAACAGCATGAATAAAGGCAACAGATGCCAACACTGAGGATACAGAGATGTTGGTTTTACCTCCCCCAAAGGGTAAAGTAGCCACAATAAAAAATGTTTACAAAGAAATTACAGACTTGCTTAAAATACATGGAAGAATGGAAAGTCTTAGCAAAGAAAGAGGATGGGGCTAAATACCGTGGTAGAGTGTATGCTCACCAGGCTCAAAGCCTGGGTTCATGCTCAGCACTAACAAAATCAACAAAATTCACCATAAGATATTCATTTTAAGTATGAAGAACACAATACCAAGGACAAGAAGCTCAGCATATAGTGCATGAGCCTAAAAGCTAAATGAAGGAAGAGAGAACGATCAGTGAAATGTAATAGAGAATGCCAGACGGCCTGATCCAAATGAGATGGAGAAAGTTAACTGAGGAACAATATGTAGAGCCTCAGAAATCTGTGGGACCTAACCAAAGATCTAGTATTTATGCCATCCTAGTTCCAGAAGGTCAAACGAAAGAGTATAACTGAAACACTGAGGATTTCCATGGCTAAAATGTTCTGAAACATGACAAGATACATTCAAGAAACTAAGCAAAACCCAAATCAAATGAACTCTAAAACATATGCACAGCAAAACAAAGAATAAGTGTATTTCTACAAAACAAGAAAAAGAAAACCCAAAACACTGGAAAGGAATTGCAAGGCAAAGTATTGCTTATGGGGGAGAAAGCACACATAATTATAAGGACAGATAAATTTTGAAACCTTGGTGGCTAAATTGAAGTACCACAATAGTTACTGAGTGCTGGAAAAAAAAAACTGAACTGTCAATTCAGAATCCTAAACTCAGCAAAACTGTCCTTCTGAAATTCTGGAAAATCAAGACATCTCAGAGGAAAAGTAAAAGAATTCATTAGTCTAGAAGAATGGCTAAAATATTCAAAGATAAAAGAAAACACCTTGGAAAATCAGGAAGGAAGAATACATGTAGTAAAGTACAAATACATATTTAGTCTCTGTCCCTGATTTCATTCTTCATAGCTCCTGTAATGTATCTAATACAGGTGTCTTTGGGGCAGTGGCTAGAAGAGTAGACAGCTTCATAACAGAGACTGGTGATCAGAGAGGCGAAGCCCCAAACACAGAGCTAAAAACTTGGGTACCCCCTTACAAGTCCAAGGAAAGGATAAGGACTGGCAATTAATCACCAATGATCATTGATGTAACCAATCATGCCGACATAATATAACCTCTACAAGCCGTGATAATCACTTGGGTACTGAGGTTTTTTGGGTTGGTTCCACTGAGGGACTGAGAAGGCAATGTGCCTAATGAAGCTCTGGAGATGTCACCTCTAACCCATACTTCATATATGTGTCTCTTCTTTCTGTTCATTCTTATATTAATATCATATAAGGATTTTTTCTTTAGAGATCTTTTTACCTCCTGACATTGAAGGATATTAGGTTGTGTTTGTGCTATTCAGGTAGTTTGTTACTCATGTACTTCCCCTGTTATTGTTCCATTTTCTTTGGTCTGTGTATACTCCCTGAAGGTGATTATGCATCTTTTCTATCTGTAGTATCTTTTGCAGGTTTTCAGCATAATAATATGTCTTGGTTTGATAGGGATGTGTGTGTGTGTGTGTGTGTGTGTGTGTGTGTGTGTGTGTGTGTGTGTGTGACAGGAACATGTGCGCACACATCTATATTCTTTGTTATATAGCCATAGGTATTTGGCTTTCATAACATATGCCATAATTTATGCACTACACATGCGCCTCTGTTCTGGGCTCCAGATGCATCCAATGATACTCTAGGCTGCTTGACTTCTGCCTACACAGCTCACTTGGGCTCTCTTCATTATTGTTTCTCTTTCTCTCAATGCAGCATTTGGAACAGTCTTTAAGCTTTCCCTTTGTACTATGAATCTATTAAGTATAGTGAGTGAAATTTTTACTTCTGATCTTCCATGAACAGCATGTTCAAGTTCAATTTGAAATCCTTGCACATTGAGGGATTTAAAACTAAGCACCATTTGTGTGCTTGCCAGAACTGGAACTAAAAAGGGCCATGGGTTTGCAGCACAGCGTAGTTCACAATAGTGAAAGCTTGAATGTTAGCATTGGTTCCCATGTGGGTTGGAAAAGTCAATTCTAATACAGGCACCCAGCAGCCCTAGAGGAAAATAAGGGACCCTCATAATGACCCAGCTGCCGACTTTTATAGACAAAGCAAGAAATATGAAAGAAAATGTGGCATTATTTCTAGGTTTTTAATTCCAGTGTTATCTTTCTAATTTTGGTCATTAGTTGTTCAAAGGGGTTTCTGCATCTTGGCATCTTGGAGATTTTAATAGCAGAAATTAAAATACATAAAATTTTTCCAGCGATTGACCAGGAACACGTTTATTTTCTCTTAAATACCATTTATGTGTCTTTTCTACTGGATTTGGCTTATTGCTTTTCACTTTTGAAGTAGTTCTTGGTTCATAATTAATGACTCATGACCATCCCTCTCAGAACACTTCTGTTGCTAAATTTACCAGTAGATCCTCATGTATTTCTCAGGCATGGCTTTTGCTTTCTCTTGGCCAGAGCTCTGCATCTATTGCCACACTAGCCAACACTGAGGTGGCTCGTATAGACAGGATGATTATTTTGTATAAATGCTAAGTACAGCATCTCTCTTACTCTCATCTACCTTGGTAACTGTATATCGCTTACTTAGTATACTCATGGACCATTATGATAAGCAAAGATGAGGGCTGAAGATGCAGCTCAGTGGTAGAGTACAGGCCTGGCATGCACAGGGCTCTCAGTTCAGTCCCCAGCACCAAAAGAAGGAAAGGAAACAAATGTTGGTCTCAGGAGACTATATATTAGGACTGATGGAAAAACAAGACCCAGATTGGCATTGAGAAGTTGTGACATGAGGATCACTGGTAGAATGTTTTTGGATGGAGAGAAGACAGCCCTTTGATGTATGTGTGTGTACCCTTTTCAAAAGCAGAGGTAGAAACAGGGGATGACCCTCCGGTAGTCACCTCCTGGACAGGGGGAAGGAAGAAGCCCTGACATATATGTTGCTCTACAGAGACCAGAATCTAAAGCAGCAGCACCACAGCAGGCCATGGCCCAGCAAGGACAGGTTTGTCACAGGACCTTCTTGCATTAGAGAGAAGTCTTTTGACCACTTTGGCCTTACTATTCATATTTCCTTAGGCTGTTTTCTTTTTCTCCAACTTGTCAGATCTACAGCAGATCCTCTACAAGAGACCCCTTCTCTCTAATCTCATTCTCTAAAAGTCTCCAAGTTTAGAGCTGTACATATTAGACCAAATAAGTAGGGGGTGGATTTTCTGTCAGACATAGATTGAAACTGAAAGGTATCTTTGAAGTAGCCTTTGTCAAGGTTCTGATTTAGACAGTCTGGTGTTGATAAGTCCTGGGTTTGTGACCAGCATTCTGGTCTAATTCTGAGGTGACACTGGGAGAGAACTGGTGTTAGGACATCACAGACCACTGTGATTTCAAACTCTTGGCAGGTACATCTCCGTTCATGGATGCACTAACAGCCAATGGAACAACCAACATACAGACGTCTGTTACAGGAGTGACGGCTGGGAAAAGGAAATTTCTTGACGACAGAAGAGACCAGCCTTTTGACAAGTGGTTGCGTTTCAGTGTGAGGCAGACAGAGAGTGCCTACAGATACAGAGATATTGTCGTCAGGAAGCAAGATGGCTTCACCCACATCTCGTTATCCACAGAATCATCGGAGAATAACTAAACCCAGAGGTGAGAGACGCACCTTGCTGTGCACTTTGTGCTTCTCCACGCCTGCTTTGCTGTGTGGCTCTTTATGCTCTTCTGAAACCTCCTTCTGAGCTGGCCCACTATGTGCCCAGGAGGTGGGAAGCAGAGGGGACTTGGCAGCTTGGCTGCTAATCACTCTGGCTGCACTGACATGGGGCAGTAGCATGAGCTGGGCATCTGCTCCATTCTACTGGTGTGGGCTCCAGTGGGAACTATGGCTCTTACCAGGAGGAGGCAGCAGTGCGTCTGTGCTCGGGCCACCTCCCAGGTCAGTAGCTCTTCATCTGCAGGGGCTGCGGCTTTGCCATAGCTCTCACCTTGACAGGTTTCTTGTTTGTGCAAGATAACAATGACCATGTTCTGTCCTGTGAGGAGTTTCCCTGCCATCTTAGAACACGGATGGTCTTAGGGTTGTGGCAGAGCACACAGCAAGAGGGCTTTCTGAGCATGTTCATTGTCTAATGCTTGAAAGTAGCAGCTCCCAAAGACCAGGTAGACTGTTGTTGAAGAGATTGTTGTTCAAAAGCCAGTGCTAGGAAGGCTCTAGAATTAGACACATCTCAAGTTGCCCTGGGACTCACCAAAGTTTTAAGTTCTAATGTTGCTGTTTTCCTTTGTACACAGCTGGACTAGGTTGTTTCCAAACAAGGAAAGCAAATTACAGAGAAGTCTGTGTACTAGCAACACTCAGAGCAGTTTCCGGCTTAATCCTTGATACATTTTTAGACTTCAATCCCTTCACTGGTGAGTCTTTTTAATGTTTCCAAGAGAATTTTAAATGATTTAGTGCCCTCTCACATTTTCCTTTCCATGATGGGCTTTCACTTCATGTACTTAGGCACCAAGTCATTTAGGTTTCTGTCCTAAGTGAAAGAAAGACAGACAGACAGACAGACAGACAGACAGACAGAAAGAAAGAAAGAAAGAAAGAAAGAAAGAAAGAAAGAAAGAAAGAAAGAAAGAAAGAAAGAAAGAAAGAAAGAAAGAAAGAAAGAAAGAAAGAAAGGAAGGAAGAAAGGAAGGAAGAAAGAAAGAGAAAGAGAGAGAGAGAGAGGGAGGGAGGGAGGGAGGAAGGAAGGAAGGAAGTTCTCGCTAAAGGTTTGAGAGGCAAACAGGGGCGGGCAGCTGGAGTGGGGTCAGGATGGAAGAGGACCTGCTGACCACCCTGAAGATCCTCATCATCGGCGAGAGTGGGGTGGGCAAGTCCAGCCTGCTCCTGAGGTTCACAGATGATACTTTTGATCCAGAACTTGCAGCAACAATAGGTGTTGACTTCAAGGTGAAAACAATTTCAGTGGATGGAAATAAAGCTAAACTTGCAATATGGGATACTGCTGGTCAAGAGAGGTTTAGAACCTTAACTCACAGCTACTATAGAGGTGCACAGGGTGTTATATTAGTTTATGATGTCACAAGAAGAGGAACTTTTGTTAAGCTGGATAATTGGTTAAATGAATTGGAGACATACAGTACAAGAAATGACATAGTAAACATGCTGGTTGGAAATAAAATTGACAAGGAAAATCGTGAAGTTGATAGAAATGAGGGTCTGAAATTTGCAAGAAAGCATTCCCTGTTATTTATAGAGACAAGTGCAAAGACCTGTGATGGTGTACAATGTGCCTTTGAAGAACTTGTTGAGAAGATCATTCAGACACGTGGACTGTGGGAAAGTGAGAACCAAAACAAGGGCATGGAGCTGTCACACAGGGAAGAAAGTCACGGTGGAGGAGCCTGTGGTGGTTACTGTTCTGTGTTATAAACTCTGGGAAATTCCATCTCTTGCATATTTGATCAGATAGTGACATCTTTCTGCATATAAACTCACTGCTATTTTAGGGACCTTGCAGTTTGCACATAATTGTTTTGTATCATGGCAGTAAATACTTGCAAGAAATCCCACTCTTTGGCTTTCCCAGGTAGAATGTTATGGTATGCATGCACAGTTCACAGTCGTTAGGTTTTTATGTAACATAAAATAGGTGTACCTTTAGGAGTACATTGGATTTTATGATTTATATTTATCATGTATTTTTTTTTAAAACATCCATCTGTCTAGTATACATTGATACCGAGTTTTACTTTTGGTCTCTCTTTTTTTTTTTTGCTTAAGTACACCTGTCAATTACTGAATTACTTGGTATACAGGTATCATACCTGTCAGATTTCCTTTGAGGAATAACACAAATTTTCTAGAATGTGGGAGATTCTCTTAGTACTAAACAAAATTCTCAGAATGTAGCCCAGGCCAATTCATAATTAAATCTCTATTTGTTCTGATGATGCCTCTAAAATGTACTTACACGTTAAAGAAGTTTGAGGTTTTTTTAAATTTACTTCAATGATTAGTTCAGTTATTTAACTGGAGTTTTAATCCTGTAATGTGTCATTGGATTCATGATCCTTTCACAGTGTTTTAGCTGCCTGGTGTTTGGCAGAATGGCAATAAGGTTTTCCCCATTTTGGTCCCAGAAGAACAGAGCAGAGCAGTGTGCTTCTATAATGCTTTTCGTACTTTCAACTTTGAAAACCAACATCTTTCCTTTTATATGCTGCTAGTGTTCATCCAGGTACCTCAACTGTACCCATGTAATGTCTTTGAATATCTGTGTCTTATGATTTCCATAAGTGGCTAGTTGATTCTCAAAAGCCTATTTCTGTATTTTGAAGGTGAGGAAAAAAACCATTTGAGAAAGGCATATTGCTTCCAGATTCTGACATGCATGGGAAAATGCTGTTGCAATGAGAAGGTAGATAATTTGCTGTAACATGTAACCAGTAGTTTATCAAAACCAACTTGTACAGACTGATAATTTTTTTCCACAGTATTCAGTTTTCTAACCTCTTGCTATTGTACATTATATTTTATCTTCATTTATCCATTATTTAATTTACTTTGACCTCTGCTATATTGAGCCCCAGATAAGTACTTCATTTTTTTTAAGGCTGATCACTGTAATACCCCTCATTAAGATTCTGATTTTCTTGTCAGTTCTGTATGTACAATTGCAAATGATAAAAGACTTTTGTGAATCTTAAAAAAAAGAAAAGAAAGGAAGGAAGGAAGGAAGGAAGAAAGAAAGAAAGAAAGAAAGAAAGAAAGAAAGAAAGAAAGAAAGAAAGAAAGAAAGAAAGAAAGAAAGAAAGAAAGAAAGAAAGAAAAAAGAAAAAGACTGTGACAGGACAAACTTTTTAAAGTGGTAGAAAGTGCCACCTGCTGTTAGAACTGTAGAAATACCCAGTCCTGGTAACGTACAGAGCCGTAAAATCTCTCCAGTGATGGAAAAGCACAAGTCTTTCTTTTCCTATGCTGTTTTTGATGTTATGTAGTTACAGTGAACTCTGTGCCCAGCACCTCAGTGTCTGCTTCCAGAAATGTGCATACTGTTTATTGTTGTGCTTGGCAAAGCAAAGAATATTTGTCTGGTGATGCATTTTTGTAGTCTAGGTTGTCGAATAGTAAAATGGTTATAGTAGTCTGTACCCAAAGTGCTCCTTATCACTGGAACTTGTGGTGACTTCCAGGTGATGAAAGAAGTCCAGACGTGAACATGGCTGTGGTTGATGACAGCAAGCTGGTGCTCCTCAGCACAGTGGGCAGCATCTTCTGTTGTAACCTGGATTTCATTTACTTCATAGGGTGTCTCATGGATGACAGGAAGAAAGAAAGCACCAAGAAGGCAGTTACCATCAGGTATGCAGAGCCAATGTGTTTGCATTAGAGTTAAGCTTGGTTTTCCAAGTACTATCTCTGAAGAGGATATCTCTGCACGGGCTTCAAGGACTATCATTTAACTCAACTAACTCATCTGCCTTTTCAACGGGTCTGACATAAATGACTGCTTATCAGAGGAAAATAACTGATTTTAAGGCTGACATCCAGCACATGCTCAGGCATGTTGGCTAAGAGTGCTCTACAGATAATGTACAGCTGTCTGGTACTTGTGCTGTACCTGCTGACCTCAATCCTGAAGTGGAGATGCTTTCTCTACCAAATAGTAACTGCTGTTGCTGAGCTGTAAAATAAACTGTGTAGGCTTTGTGCCAATTACTATAGATCATACAGAGAGAGTTTTATTTTTTTAGTACATTCAGTACAATTTCTTCAAGTTCAGCCTAGAAACTACTGAGAGAACTTGAAGATATGCAGTAGAAAATGAATGAAATTCTCCCTACTCTTATTTATTAGGCAAGGAACCTAGTGCTCACTTCTATCTTTTCCGAATTCTAAATATTCCTTATATGACAGGAAAGAAGCCATATGCTTACCATATACACACAATTTGTTTCAAATCTGTATATATTGTATAAGTAACTACATCAAACTAATGAACACATCTTATATCTGTTTTGTGAGTTTTTTTTTATATTACTAGGATTTGATTGAATTGAAAGCCTCATAATGGCTAGGCAAGCCCTCTACCACTTGAGCCACAAAGCAAGCCCCTCTAGCTTTAAGTATTTAAAGTATTTTTTGAGCTTTCCTGTTCCCTCACCTATACCTCTCACATAGCTGGGATTACAATCATGAACCACCAAGCCAGGAGTGTTTGTTGAGATAAGGTCTTCTTGCTAACACTTTGCCTAGACTAGCCTTGGACCTCAGTCTTCCCCATCTCTGCTTCCAGAATAACATGCCTATGGTTTGAAATGTTATAATTCCAATATTATTCTGGGGTTTTTAATTTCAGTTTTGTGGTGTGGTACTAGAAGGCACTGACTTCTTCTTTGACTTGGAATTAAAAACCTTGGTCAGTGGACATAATTTTGCTGTAGACAATCAGAAAATCGTATCTATGTGTGTGTGTGTGTGTGTGTGTGTGTGTCTGTGTCTGTGTCTGTGTCTGTGTGGACACTGCTCATTGTTATACCAGGATGAATTAAATGAATTTAAGCCTCACATTTTACACACACACACACACACACACACACACACACACACACACACACACACACACACACCATTGTCTTCTGTGGTGACGTTGTACATCTTCCATGAGACCACCTGAGTCCTCTCCTGAGCCTCTTGGAGCTTCTCTCACCAATCTTGCTGCTCTTCAGCCTGCTCCTCCCTCCAGTGTCCAGTCACTGACCTGGACAGTGCTGAGGCTTGTCCTACTGGGATAAGAAAAAGAGAAAAGATAGATCCAGACATTGAAGTAGCAACCTCATCTCGTGCACTTTGAGGTGACTTTACAGATGCTTGTTTTCACCAGCTCCTCACTCCTGTTTCTGCTCCCAGCCTCCCACTTTCCTGCTCTTCTCTGGGCTCCCCACAAAAGGCTCAGCTGATATTATAGGAAACAGACACATCCTGTTTCTGTGAAACCTGCGTTGCTGCTGCTTGGAGTGAACGTATTTTTCCAGTGAGAGTTTTTCTTAATGTAATAGGGAAGAATCAGAAAAATAATTAGTTAGGGCAGTTTCACTTAAGCTTTCTCTTACTTGGTTTATTTAAATTAATTTTATATGGATAAGATGGACTTTACACACACCAAAAAATCTTTCTGTGCATACATTTTTTGCTTGTTTCTGTGGTGTCATGTCTCAGATTCCTTAAACCTTTTGAGGCAAAGATCCTCATATAGCAAATAGCCAGAAGGGAAGGGAAGCAAAGTGAAAATGGAGGCCAACTAACACCTGACATTGTCCACTCTCTAGGGCTGCTGTTTCCACTATTGGAATTGATGACGGCTAGTTTGCATTGTCATGAAACGGCCATTACATCAATGATAAAAACAGAGTGGCTAGGGATCCATTTATAACATTGAGCCTTTGATGTCTGCATACTAAGTGTCTGAAGGACCCAAGAGCAAGCTCCTCTCCATGGAAGGGAAGTCTCCTCTCATAACGCAGGGAGATACGGTGGGGAGTTTCCAAAGGAAGAGGCTATTACTCAGTAGTCCTAGATTAGAGGATTTGGAGAGAGGGTAAAATTAACCAGCAACCTGCTCCCTAGAAGTTGACCTCTTCCTACTCGATCCTTCAGATACTGAAGCTCAATAAACTGAGGAAGGCAGCAAATGAACTCTTAATTTGGTCCTTGTTGCCCGATTTCGCCAGAAAGTTCTTACATCTTTTCATGAGGGTCTGACTTGACATCTAAACTTGTAAATGTTCTTCTAAGAAGAAGTCTATTGAATAATAATGTCTTCAACAACTAACTTTGTGGCAATTCTTTCCTTCCCTACCATACCTCACACAGCCTTTACCTTAGTTCACAGATAATCCAATGGGAACACATATAAGTTTAGTATGCTGCATTGTACATGTTTTCATTCTTGTGGGGTTTAAGTTTTTTTTTTTTTTTTTGCCAGTCCTGGGTCTTGAACTCAGGGCCTGGGCACTGTTCCTGAGCTTCTTTTGTTCAAGGCTAGCGCTTGACCACTAGAGCCACTGTGCCACTCCTGGCCTTTTCTGTTTATGTGGTACTGGGGAAATGTACCCAGGGCTTCATGAATGCTAGGCAAGCACTCTCTCAGTAAACCACATTCCCAATCCTGTGGGCTTTACTTTTGAGTTTTAAAACACACACATAAAAACCAGGCACCTGGTGGTTCATGTCTCTAATCCTAGCTACTCAGGAGGCTGAGATCTGAGGATTGCAGTTTGAAGCCAACTCAGGCAACAAAATCTGTGAGACTCTTCTTTCCAATAAGCTACTCTGAAAAGGCCACAAGTGATGCTGTGACTACATTGGTAGAACACTAGCTTGAGCACAAAGAGGCTCAGTGATAGTGCTCAGGCCCTATATTCAAGCCCCAGGAAGAGCAAAAAAAATCTACATATACCTAACAAAAGCTGCACACATTTCCCTCTTTCCATCATGATCTCCTACCTCTGGACACACTGTAGCTAGACTTTTATAGCTCATGATACCATGCCTTTGTGGTCTTGGGAAGTCTCTCCTGACAGGTCATTTCTACAAAGCTTTGGTGAATGGCTGTGTTTAACAAACTGACTTTCTGTTCAGCTCATGTTTCAAAAATGAGTTCACACATCATCATGGCCCCTCCCTCTGAGCAGGGGTGCTGGTTAATTTAGCATGGATCCCTGAGATAGAGACATAATTTCATTTGACATTATTTTCATTCA